GCGCTGGGAAAAATTTTCCTTCTGGTTGTCGACTTTTCGTGATTTTTCCTGTTTCATGAGTACTATGAAGGAAGAGAAAAAAGAAGCAGAACAATGTTGATGGCTCACAAACCAAACACCACGGCTGACTTTGAAGTACGGTATTTGAATTGAATTTACCTGGTTGAATACTCTTGTAGAAGATATCGACGTATTGATCACGATCTGGTCTAGTATGTTCATGCCAAAATCCAACAACATGGCCAAGCTCATGAACGACAATTCCAAATTTGTCACAATTTTTTCCTATTGATATAGCTTGAGGACCGTCACCACGACGTCCGACGTAAGAGCAGCACCTTGAAAGAAGCATTAACCAACTTTTTCAGTGGATATCCTCGCAATCAGCCGGCGCATTGTCGAGAGGCATGAGATAGCATTCTCTCCCACTTGTTGTTTTCTTCCTGAATCTTTCACTGAGGCATTGTTCACAGTCTGCGACCCAGCGTTTCTCTAGAAAGAAACGCTCGGCGAAAAGCTTTCGATACGTATCGATTGGCGGTTGGGCGAAGAGTCTGGCGGTTGCGCGAAACGGTTTTGATACGTATCGACGGGCGGTTCGGCGGAGCGGTTGGGCGAAAAACGCTAGCCCGACCGCCCTGGCGTTTTTCTCTAGGGCGGAGCCAGCGAAATCGATACGCATCTGTTGCTTTTCGCCGAACCGCCGAACCGCGGTCTCCAGAGCGGTTGGCGATTCTCGATCAATACGTATTTATTGCTTTTCGCCGAACCGCTGTTTCGTCAGGGTCGCAGACTGTGAACAATGTCTAATCGACCACCGTTGACAGAAAAGGGAGCTACGAGCTGGCTCATTCCGCCTCTCCTTACACCGCTCGGCTGGTTGCGACGATATCAACACTACTGTCTAGTGAATGAAGGAAGGCCACATTATATTACAAATCTTGCCGCAACTCGTTTAGGCTCGATAAAGAGATCAAAAAAAGGTTGAAAAGAGTTAGTAGTG